TCACAAAGATCAGCACAAGGACTCCACATTCCCTCACACCCTCAGCAGCTGAACAAAACCCTCACCTCTCCTCATGGCCTCCTGCTTCTGCACAGATTCCTCCTGCTTCCTCAGATTTTCCTCATTAGCAAGTTGCTGCAGGGAGACATGACAGCAAAAGAGATGTTGATGTTGTAAGAAATCCATCAAGTGTAAACTTAATTGCTACAAATATTTTCAAGAAGCTCAGATTGAAGTGTGTTTTCCTCTCCCCGTCTCCCAGATTTATTCTCCTAATTCCAATCTGCTGCTTTGTCCTAATGCCCAACCCTTGATGTGCCAGGCCAGCAGTGCTGATGCTGAGCACATAACACAGATAAACTGTGCCCAGCAGGACAGGGCACAGCTCCAGAGCATCTTTTGGATTTAAGAAGGCTCCCAAAACCATTCCCAGCTGGATCAGAGCAGGAATCCACCCCTACCTGCTGTCGCATTTGCTCGTCGTAGCGCTGCCGTGCCAGCTTGTCCTGGTACTGGGCTCTCTTCAAAAAACAAAACAAATTCAGAATACACACATTAGGCAGTTAAAAAACAGCCTGGTCCTCAGGGAAATGAGGTTCAGGAGGGAAAAAAAAAATGAATAAAACGGGAAAATCCACACAAACAAAAAATTATCCTGGATTTGAATGTGAACAGGGCAAAATATCCTCAGCACCATCTCTGTGCTGAGAGGTCTCTACAGTCAGACTTCATTTTAAGGGATCACAGATGTCAAAACAAGGAGCAAGTATTACTTGGCCCAGAAAAGGAGACTTCACTGGGAAAAACAAGGTTTTTGTGTTCTAAACCACATTATCTGGACTGGTGACTGCAAGCAATAGGACTGTCAGTTTGTGCTAAAGATTTCCTTGTTCCTCATTAATTCCTCTTATCAATTTTCCACTGTAACTCCAAATAAACCCAAGCCATCTCCAATGAACTGGAAGACAGCTGAGGATCCACAGCCACCAGCAGGGAGGACTCTGTATCAGGGGGTGACATCTTTCTTTATTCCAAACAGGGATAGCAGAATAGCTTGGGAATTCTCTCCTCAGCAACAGTAAAACATCATGGACTGAACCAAGATTAAGTTTGTTGGGATTTCAAACAACCCATGAGTTTGCTGTGACTTCAAATGATGCTCTGTGAGCAGCAGGGGGTGAAGAACCAACCCCTGAGGGCAGCTGAGTGTGCAGCTGCTTCGTGGGCCAGCCTGCTCAAAGTCCAAACTCTGCCAGGGTAAAAGCACCACGTGCCAAATAAACAGTTCTAGCAAACTTCCCAAGCTGGAAAATCCATGAGAATGAATCAATTCCCTCATGTCCTGTGCTCTCAGAGTAAGAAATCACCGTAATTTAGATTTTAACATAAAAGTCAGCCTTTATTTTCCCTGTTTCAGGATTATTGCCACATCAGTGACACAAGCTAAAACAAACCTGGAAGCACCAACACTGCTCACAACAACTCAGATTTGTATCACTTCTCCTCTTAAGATATTTTTTCCTGTTTAATTCAGAAGAAATAGGGTTTCAAGCTACTTAAGACTGAAATCCAAATAACTCAGAGCCATTTCACTGTCCAGGCTAACACAGACACTTGATAAACCAGTATTGCTCAACACTTCCCTGAAAAGCCCTTTAGGAAAATAAAAAAAAAAACAAAACAGAATGAGAGAAATTGCTACCACCAACTCCTTTGGATGTTCAAGAACTTGGGAACAGAAGTCCCAGAGGGCTAAAAACTCAACATTACAAATCCAGGACAGAACAGCAGGAGGTGTGAACACCCCCAGATCTCTGGCTGCCCACAACCAAAAATGATCCCCAAAAGGGATAATTAATTAAAGGGATAATGAAAGGGATAATGAATGCATCATTGCCTTTTCTATAAGGGAAGATACAAACAAGGTTTTCCCCTCATTCCCTTACTGCTTGGTGCTGTTTGGTTTCTTCACTGAGTGTTTTCCTTCTCTCTTCTGCTTGGACCCGGATCTGCTCATTCTTCAGCTGTTCTATGGCAGCCTCGTACTCCTGGTGAAATAACCAGAGAATTTCATGAGCAGAAATTGATAAATCAGCCTGGAGAGTAATTCTACTGATAATTATATTCCAAGAAATCCCTCTGTAATTAGAGTGGTACCCTTAAAAGATGATCATGGACGCAAGAAATTTAAAATATGGTAATAAAATGATGGTAAAAATATTGCATAATTAACTATTTTAGGATTAAACATAATTAAAAAAAAAAAACATCCAAGAGACCAATCAACACCCAAAAAAATCCCTAAATTCCTTAATGAGAAAACAGAAGTCTGTCCTTCACCCAGCTACTTTAAAGTTCCCACAGAAACCCCATGCCATCCCCCAAAACCAGCAGGCATATTCCAGGAGTTACAAAACCACTCAGGACATGCAAGTTTTAATCAAAGCCACAAAAAAATGTGTCAGAATAGGCAAAATTAGCTGGGACTTCACCTTCCACAATTCCTTTTTTTTTTTTTTCCTAAACACAAATAACTCCTATTTGCTGAAGCTGAACAGAAAGGAAAATTTTTCATCCTCTGCAGAGGAAAGATTTTAACTTTTGTCCTTCCCAAACCTGGCAGCTCCCTGAGGAGTTCCAACATGAGGAATTCCAACACACCTTCAGTTTGGTTTGCTGCTCCAGCTGCAACGTCTGCTCCTGCATCTGGGCAAGGTTCAGAGCATCTTTTGCATGGCCTGGAGGGTGGGAAGAGATTATGGACAGTGAGAGGTCTTTTCTCAGCAAAGAAGTTGCTCAGATTGTTCAATCCATCCCGTTCCTGGAGCACAGCTCTGCAATGGCACATTCAACCCTCCAGGGGATAAATAATTATGGAACTTCTCAGCAAACCTGTGGAAAAGATCCAACCAAGGCCAGGCTGGATGGAATTGGAGCAGTCTGGGATAGGGGAAGGTCCCTGCCCTGGCAGGGGTGGAATGAGATGGGATTTAAGGTCCTTTCCAACCCAAACCATTCTGGGAATCTGTGACTTTGTGAAGATGCTCTGGTGCCTCCCTCTCCCCTCACAGACTCTGTAGGAAGCTCTCAGAGGTCACTGACTGGGAATGCTGATCCCGGGGCTCCAGGAGAGCAGGGCAGGAGCCAGAGGCTGCCCTGGGCGATGGGACCCGACAGGACACGGGGGATTCCAGGATGGGCCAGGCTGGAAGGGCCCCAAGAGACTCATCTGCTCCAGCAGGGCCATCCCTGAGCACAGAGCACAGGATTGTGAGGGACAGATCGGGAATACCCCCAGTGAGGGACACTCCACACCCTCTGTGGTGTTCCAGAGTGGAACAGACAATCCCTCATGCCCAGCAGGAATTTCCTGGGCACCGCTTCCTGCCCTTTCCTCGCATCTCACGGCTGGGCCCCAGGGAGCAGAGCCCGCTCTCTGCTCTGACACCGCCTTTCCACACATCCCCACACCCTGACGAGCTCTCCCGCCCTCCCGCCCCGTCCCCTCACGCACGGGACGCGTCCAACTCCCGCGCCGCCTTGGCCGCGCGCTCCAGGCCCGTGGGGTCGAAGTTGCTCCATTTGTCCTTGGGCGTCTGACGGTCCCCGGAGCCGCCGCCACCGGGGACGGGCGGCAGAGAGAGCCCGGCCGCACTGCCCGTCCCTGTGCCGGTGCCCGGGGGTGCCGCATCCCCGCCGCCGCCCGGCGCGGCCCCGCGGTTCAGCCCGAACAGCCACGACATGAGCGCGGCGGCGGCGGCTCCACGCGGGGGTCGCGCCGCGAACAGCGCGCATGCGCCGAGGGCGGGGCGGCCTCCCATTGGCCCGCCGGGACACCGCGCCGCGCTCTGATTGGCGGAGAGGCGCCGCGTGTGGGGTTTGATTGGTTGAGGGAGGCGGAAGGAGCGGAACCGCCGTGTGAGGGACGGAGCGCCGGGAGGGACAAAAGGGGCGGGGAGGCACTTCCGCGTAGCAACGGGAGTGTGGGGCGTTGCTAAGGGCCGCGAGGCGGGCACGGCCTTGGAGTTATCCCGGATTTCCATGGAAATCGGCACAGCCTTGGATTTAGCCCAGATTTCCCTGGAAATCGGCTCCTTGGAATGGCAGAGAGGACGGGAAAGCGGAAAAGGGGAGCGTGAAGGAACCCATCGCTGTGGTTATCTGGGATAATGAGCGGGATTTCCCTGGAAATTGGTTCCTAATGCAACGTTTTGGAATGGGAAAGATGAGACAGAAGCTTCCAGAAAAGAGGAGTACGGGGAAATCCATATCTGTGGTTATCTGGGATTTCCCTTGAAAACCAGCTTGTGGTCCAACAGTTTGGAATGGGAAAGATGATGGAAAAGTGGGAAAGAGAAGGGGAGCACTCATCCCTGTGGTTATCTGAGATAAAGAGCAGGATATTCCATGGAAATCATCTCCTTGTCCAACTGCTTGGAATGGGAAAGATGACAGGAAAGGGGAGTGGAAGTCAGAAAACATGAAATTCTGCAGTCTGAAATGGTGTAAAATGTAGAACACTCCTGGACCATGCCCAGCCCTCAGCAGCAGGATGGGGACACCTCAGATTTTTTATTTTCTTTAAATGTTTGTGTTTCTTCCCAAATGCACACTTAGAATCATGGAAACATGGAATATCCTGAGCTGCAAGAGATCCACAAGGATCAGAGTCCAACTCCTGGCCCCCCACAGGAGAGCCCAACAATCCCACCCTGTCCCTGAGCGTGTTGTTCACAAATATTTACCAGTTCTGCCAAGATTTCAGGGACTCTCCTTGTAAAACAATTCTTACTGGGACTGAGGCTTTATCAATGTATTTTTACATTTCCAACACATTTTTTGAGGGATGGTTTGTGTAAACCAGGCTATGCAGGCACAGGTAGAACACACACTTCCCAGTCATTTAAAATGATGATTTAGTGTGGTGATCTCAGCAACTTTTCCCAATTTTTATGATTCCATGGAACAAAACCCACATCAAGCACAAAGGAACCATTCAGTAGCTCTTGTATTTATATTTAATTGTCTTCAGAAGGGTGTGTTACAAGTGGGGGGGATGACACGTTAATGTATTGATAAACTATGCAGGGAGCTGTGCAAACTTAATTTCTGTCCTACAGCAAGAACAAACAAAATCATCTTATTGCATGAGCAGTTCCAGGGGCTTTGTCATCCCTTCAGCACTGAGATTAATCAGTCACAAATGCACATTCCAAAGGAGGACACAAATCAGGTGAAAATCTCTTTATAGAGTTAATGAATGACTCACCTCCCTTCTATCCCTCTCTCCAAGGCAGCCCAAGGAAAAATGCTCCAGAAATGTGGAAATGAAGGATTCAGCTCTCAGGAGACAAAGTCAGGGATAAAAGTTCCTCTCAGCTTCGAAAGGAGCTGTTTTAAGCTGCTTTAAGAAGGGTTTGTGAGGGTCTCCAACAAACAGTACAGCTTCAAAAACAAGTTGCACATGTAGGACAAATAAGTAATAAATTTAAAATAGAGCAAGTATTACTGAGGGTGGGTGTACCCCCACTGATGCTGGGGTTCAGCAGAGAAGTATCTACATTTCTTTACAGCCCTAAGCCCTGAACTTTGAAACTATATGCTTGGTCACTAGGTATTTATAATCAATTTCTTTTTCTTTATTTATTTTTTTTCCCCAGCTTCCCTTTCCAGAGTGGTTTAGACACAACGAGTTCAAGCCTGGGGCCAAAGGGAAAGAATCAGATTTACTCTTCTCCCTCAAAACCTCTGCTTTTTAAGTGTAGCTCAAGCTTAGCACTGGGTGGAAGCCCAAGACAAACACCAGAGATGTGCTGTGTGTGTTCAGAGTGCAGAGGAATGATAGTGCTGGAGACTTATTGCCTGTAATTAGTCACAGAACAGGCTAATTAATCTCCATGAGGACAGCAGGACTCCCGTGTGGTGAAAAGGGATTGCAGGAATGCCAGAGCAATGCAGTGGTGACAATCCAGGCAGGACCACAGAAACAAAAATAAGTGCTTTAGATGGTCTTGTCTGGCATTTCTGGGCTCTCAGCTGCTCCTTGAGCTCAGCTGAGGGCTGAGAGCCCTGGAGGGACCTGCTGGGGAAGAAATTCCCAGGATTTTTTGTTTCCTGCTCTCTCCCACTCCAGGTTCCCTGGCTGTTGGCAGCAGGAATGGATTTGGCCACGTGGAATCTTTCTCTGAGTGCCCTGGATGAACAGCCAGGGCACTGAACAGTCCTGAATGTGCTCATGAGCTGCAAAAATAAATCTGGATCGACCTTTAATAAATAGAGAACAGGCAGCAAGCAAGCAATAGTGAGGATCCACCACTTTGCCTTCAGTTTGTTATTTGTCAGGCGTGTTTATATGAAATGAGTACAGATTTGGCATCTTTTAGTCAGATCGGTTGTTCCAGCCAGCCAGGCCAAGCCTCTAAGCTCTGGGAGAGCTTGGCTGGGGACAGGCTTTGGGCTGGACAAGCAGGACACCTCAAGGGACAGCACAGGCTGGGAGAGGAGAGATTTTCCTCCCCTGGCTCCTCCTTTTGGTCCAAGTCCTTGTCCAAGCAAGATTTCTTGCTGTGCTGGGAATAATCAGCTCACTCTGGTCTGTCACGCTCTCTGTGCCTGTATCCTTGGGCCTCTGTAGCTGGAAGAACACAAGGAATATAAATGTCAGCTTTTTTTCTCCACATCTGAGCCAGAGATTCCACCCCTGGGGACATTTTTACTCTCACTCCAGCCTCTTGCTGGGAAAATGGGGTTTCTGTTTCACAGCTTCTGTTTGGTTTTACTCCATCCTATCAGCGATGCTTTAATGCCCGTGACAGAAAGTGGGCAGCAGAAGGAAGGAAGAAAGAAATGTTGTGTCTTCATTACTGGCTTTAATTGTTACCTGTCCCCTGCCCCGTTGGAGGGTAAAGGGCAACCAAGGCTTCAAATGATTTTTAAACAGCACTTCCAATGCCCGTGGCAGCTTTCAGCAGTGTTCCCACCCTTATTATCCCAAAGTAACTCCAGGACTGTTCTCCACTCCACGCTTTTTTTTTTTTTTTTTTTTTTTTTTCTCCTGCCAGCCATCAACTCCACTAGGAGGAGTCTTCCTCCTAAAAACGGGGGAAAGAGCCCGGCTTTGATCAGTCTCAGTTTTGGAACATCCCAGCTCTGGGGGCTCCTCTGTGACCCGGCTAAGGATGCTCTCAGCTCACCTGGCTGCCTGTGCACGGTGCGGCAGAGGCTCTGGCCGGGCTGGCTGCTGTACACGGGCTGGACACACACCTTGCCGGAGGTGATGTCGCTGAGCAGGACGCTGTGAACCTGGGGGGACACGCTGAGCACCGAGGAGCGGCCGCTGTGGCGCCGGCAGCGCACCCGGTAACCCCGCACGGCCCCGGCTGCCGGGTCCCACGAGGCTCGCAGCGTGTTGGGACCCATGGCCTCGAAACGGAGGTGGCTCACCTTGGAGATCTCTGCGGAGAGAGGATAGCACACAGGATCACGGAGAATCACAGAGACACAGACGGGATCACAGAGAATCACAGAGACACACACAGGATCACGGAGAATCACAGAGACACACACCAGGATCACGGGGAATCACAGAGACACACACAGGATCACGGAGAATCACAGAGACACACACAGGATCACGGAGAATCACAGAGACACACACCAGGATCACGGAGAATCACAGAGACACAGACGGGATCACAGAGAATCACAGAGACACAGAGTCACACACAGGATCACACACAGGATCACACAGAATAAAAAAAATTACAGAGTCACAGAATCACACAGGATCACACAGAATCACAGAGACACACACAGGATCACACACAGGATCACAAAAAGAATCACACACAAAATCACAAAAAATCACAGTCACAGAATCACACAGGATCACAGAAAATCACAGGGTCACAGAATCACACACAGGATAACACACAGGATCACAGAGAATCATACACAGGATCACACAGTATTCACAGAATCACACAGGATCACACACAGAATCACAGAGAATCACAGAGTCACAGAATCACACACAGGATAACACAGGATCACAGAGAATCACAGAATCACACACAGGATCACAGAGAATCACACACAGGATAACAGAGAATCACACACAGGATCCATGGACACCCCAGGGACCCTCCAGGGACAATCCAGGGACTCCTGGTGCTGCCCCTTCCCCTCTCTCACCTTCCTGGGTGCAGGCCTTGGCCGACAGAGATCTCTCCTTGCCAGATCTATAGATGGCAGTCACTGTCACCAGGTAGGTGGTGTTGGGTGCCAGGTGCTCCACCACGGTGCTGTTGTGCCTCCCATCCACCTCCAGCACCTCCACTGAGTTCCCTGGGAGTGGCCCATAGAGCACCTGGTAGCTGGCCACGCTGTCCAGCACAGGAGCCCAGCTCACCTGGAAGCTGCGAGGCCCAGACTCCGAGATGAGAACCTGAACTGGGCTGATTTCCTCTGAAAACAATGCAAGGAGATGTCAATGAGGATTTCATGAGCATTATTGACCTGCACCATATTGGGATTTAAGGGTGTGGAATTAAAATCAACCCAGAAAGCAGATGTTGATACTCAGCTCAGCCCAAAGAAAAGGATTTCTCTACCCGGGCAGAGCAACTCAGCCACAACTGTTCTTGCATGCAGAAAATTAATATTGTGTGCAAGTCCACCTTGACTTTGCCACCCCTGCCCAGGTTTTCAGTTTGCCTCCTTTTTGCAGGTACTCCCCAGCATAAATCTGAGTTATTTTCTGCTCTGAGTTCTTCCTCTCTCCTTCTCTCTCAAACAGAGATTTCCCTTAGGTCATTCCAGCATCCTTTATCTCCACCTGCAGCCTCAGGCAGGAGACAGGGATCGTGTCCTTGTCCCCAAGGAGGGACTGTGCCCACTTTACCTGCCAGTGTGGTGACCCTTGTGCTCTGGGGGGGGAAGTAGTGCACGTTGGATTCAGGAATCAGAACCACCTCGTAAGTGGTTTCTGGTGCAAGGTCTCTGAGCACGAGGCTGGTGTGAGCCCCAGACACCTGCTGTGTCCTCTTCCTTGCTGGGTCAGCTCTTGGGCCATATTCCAGGCTGTAGTAGCCAGTGTCCTGGGACAGGAGCTTGGGCCACAGCAGGCGGAAGCTGCTGGAGGTGACATCAGTGGCATGGAGCCGGCTGGCTTGGAGGACATCTGCAAGAGGGACAGAGCCAGGAGTCAGAGCTGTCATCAACCCCCAGAGCATGACACACCTGCAGTGCCAGCCCTTCTGGGTGGGACATGCAGCACCACTGGTACCTGAAGTCACCAAGGTGTGGCTCCCTGTGGAATTCTCCAAACCACCACATTCCTGGACATGAAGCAGCCCAGAGGGTGAACAATTACATTTCTCCATTTCTCCTCTTCTCCCTTTCCACTTCTCCATTTCTCCCTTT